ATGGTTATATAGTGTCCAATTAGCATCATTCATTCGGCATACAGATGGTATCAACCTTGATTAACTTATTTGTTTATTAGAAATGTTTAACTTAATACATGTTACATAGGACCTAATTAATTGGCATTTTAAAATTATACCTTACTACTCATGTTAACTGATAAACAAAAAAAATCAAGACATTTAAGGATAAAAGTCATATTTGTAAAGTATCAATGATTGAAACTGAATAGCTTCAACATTTTTCTCAACAATCTTATTTATAAATGATTCATGATAGTTCTAGGTTGTTATTAGGTGATAACGGATGCACACTACAGAATCCGCAAATAGTTCTAGGTTGTTCTTTTTAAAATCCTTTATATATCTTTCAAATACCCATCTGTTAACTGTTGTGAATTAATTTGTTCAAATTTGTTTGAAGGTGTTCATGATGAACAAATAACAATTTTTCAATTATACAGAAATCTATACTCTAGAAATCAAAGTCGGTAAACTATACAAAAGTTTACTTGTTAGCTTTAAGGGTTACTGATATATATATATCGATTGGCTGTATATTTACACTTTCTAAGCTACTTGTGAAACCAGGTCAACAACTGTTTACAAACATGAGTGACATGATTCAAATGAGTTACATAGAATAGTAAAGTCTAATGATATTCCAAGAATTCTGTGTTTAATTAACTATAGTTATAATAATCAGATTAAAAGATTAATTTCTATGAATTTTTATTGACTAAACATATTGAGGCCTGATTGGACTATGTATATTGTCGTTTATTCAATACTTTAATCAGATTACATTTAACTACTGATCTTGTATTGACTTTGTTTCTTATTTCAGTTGTGGTAGGAGTCTTACTAAAACCGTAAAATGTCGAATTGCCTTAGTAATTTCTGACGGACTGTATTATCATTCTTTTTGGTATGCATAGACATTTAATAATGAAGAACGCTTGATTTAATTCCCATTCCGTAATGTAATCTAATATAATGATTAGGTGAAGTTTTTATGAAATACAAAACATTTTTATTCATCAGTAAACACATCCTGACGTTTTGAAGATTGATGAGATTGTTCCAGTGCTAATCACATATTGATCAATCTAATACGGAGTCTAGCAGACTGAAGTGATTGAGAGATGTGTTAAACGCCCCAAACTCCACTCGCTCTGAATTTCAATCGTGAATATTCAACTAGTAGTTTGAAGAAAGCAAGTGGAGTCATAGCGGTATATGACATGAACCGTTATGAAGCCAGTGATTGATGGATTAAGTTGAATCTCGTTAGGGTCACTATGTAAACATCTAATGAGGTAATATGAAATTGGTTCTAGTGACACATGCATTCATTTTTTACCTTTCTATAGGCCTTGAGACTTAATACTGTTGTAATTTTTATTTCAGAACTTCATTCATTCTTTTCAGGCTATATTCTATTTGTCCAGCTTATTACAATGATTGATACTATTATTGGTTTGATTCCTTAATTCTTCATCTCTTGGTATTGACATGAAGTGTAGAGGTTGCGGAGGGAATAATTTTTTCTTTACAGATTCAAACTCTATTTCTTACTGATACTAACTGGCTAGGTTCAGTTAACAAGTTAACGTATTCCATTATACTGTTGAAAGAAATTTGATAAGAATTTGATCGTCTGTTAATAACTATGAACGCATTTATTGTATTCACTTTATAATACGCATTTAACAATCGATGAATGTCGAATATTTTATAACTGCCATTTTAAGCAATTATAATTCAGAACAACATATATAAGCGAATAATATTGTTTTCGATTAGATCCTCATCAGGCTTTACTCTAATATACAGTAATCTTTATATGCATATACGAAATTATTAAACCAATCAAGGTAGTTTATAAGTCAATGATAACAATGGAAAAGATTACATAATAAGTAAAATGTGAAAAGTACAAGTTGATGGTGTGATAACCTCCTTGATAACCTCCTTGAGAGGTCCGTTTTCTAGTTTCGCCAGAAAAAAATCCGCAAGGATGGGACCTAGTGGCGAACCCATCGCTATACCATCAATTTGTCTATAATATGTGTTATTGAAGCCAATACACACATTTTTTTAAGCTTTGTGCCTCTTCATTATAAGAGAAACTTAGTCAAATGCCTTGCAAATAGAGCTCTTAAGATATGCTCAGTCGACACTATTGATAGAGAATTACAACACATTCATAATATTTTGATTGAATTGGGATATCCATTGGGTTTCCTGAAGAAACATTTTCGCGTACAAAACAGGAAAATAGTGACCCTGACGGCTAATAAGAAACCGCTTTTCTTGAAACTGCAATTCAATGGTGATTTGGCTAGCGATGTATTACGGGATAGATTGACTAGATCAGTAAAGAGAACGTTTAATGCTACCAACCTCTGCCTATCGTAAACGACCCGATCGATGGTGATTCCGCAATTGAAGGATAAGTTACCTGGTTATGCCACTTCTATGTGTATCTACGAATTCAGCTGCTCCTGTGAAGAAAGCTATATTGGGCGCACTACCAGGCAACTGAACCAACGAGTTAGTGAACACCTCCCATCGTGGTTCGGAAAAGGTTACGTCAAAACAATACGCAGCTCGGTTCTATCACACTTGATCGAAAGCGGTCATATAGTAGACAGAAACAAGTCGTTCAGAGTTATTTATCGGATTCCCACTAGTTTTCCTTATGGTGTTCGATCTCGTCTCTTACACATAGCAGAAGCTATAGGAATCTGAACCAACAAGCCAAGTCTTTGTGTTCAGAAGAAATTTGTAACTCCCTTATCTCTCCCTTGGCCTTAATTAATAAATGAATTTATTTATTTATTCCTTTTCTAACTTTCTCTTCGTTTATTATTTTTCTTCACACCCTCCTACCACTTTATTTTCTCTCAACTATACGTTTCATGGTCCAATTATCTGAAGAATTAAAAGTCGTAACAACCCTAGGCTTCAGTGGTTATTAATTTGAATAAAGCACGCATCTGGTCTCGTGCTGGATTGCATTTACACTTGCTTAATGGTACTGACCCAAGTCTTTAACGATTATTATTTTCTTGACCGGGATACCTAGCCTGTAATATACCTAGATGGTGTTCTCGCGACTTCCGGGTTGCCTGATCTGCCAAGTGCGATGGGAAAATGCATGATGCCATTGTTGTGTTCTAGGTTCAAAGAGAACTGTATGCTATATGCATGAAAATCCCCCAAAAAGAAAACACCTTATTAAAACTTTAATTCTTAACATCTTTCATATTATAAACAATGTATTTGTGCACTGAATGACAATTCAATTTTTAACATTACATCAATAACTGGAAGAAATTAAACTTAATAACATGTATCTAGCTGAATAGAAAGCAACAAAATTCAATAAATTTATCGTGCTCTATCATCAATATTGTAAATAAAATGTTTAATTTTTATGGTGTAATATCTTATGTGATACTGTCAAATGTTTGTTATGTTATAATTTTATCAGTTCGTTTGTTTATGTAATGATAGCACTTATTATTGATTATGACTTAATTAACTGATTGATAGGGAGAAAGAAACAGATAAGTTTATAGGGGGTAGCGGTTTAAAAATCCATTTGTTCATAGCTCTTTTACTCTCTCTCTCTCTCGCGCGCGCTCTATTCATCTAGAAATCAGTCAATAATGAAAATAACGATGATAAAAAATGTAACAATAATGACAGTAAAATCAATAAAACAAGTTACAGAAACAAAGCGTCCTTAATAAAAAAAGATTTATACGATAATATATGATCCTGCATTTGATGACAGATAAGTTGTGAACATGTCGTTATCATCAGGATGATATGAAATCATATTACATAAAACCATCAGCCACTGCTTTCAGATCTTGCAGTACAAACACTAGAATACCTAAAATTTATTACAGAAGACATTGCGACAGGAATAGACTGTATAGACTGGTCCCCTTGTTTTTGTTAAGCTGAAGTGAATCATTTGAATTTTAAACACATCTAAGTAGGCAGTGCATATGTAGACAAATATTGCCCTATAGTGTAGTGGTTTCACATTAGTCATGTGTATTCTCACATCCTCCTGTTTAGCTAAGGACTTAAGATAGCTTTCTAATTTCAGCGTTGTATATCATTTAATTCCAAAATGTTACAAACACTGAAATATAAGTAAGATGAATTAATGAGAAATCCTATATTAAGTAAGAGTAAAATTTTGCTAGTTGTGTGGGGAATGACCTATTTATTATTGAATTCAAAATTACACAGTGCTTTCGGAAAATCGGAAAACCATACATTAAACACTTCATTTGCACAATTACTTCAGTTTTTCTGCACATACTTCTTCATTCTTTAAATTTGAATTTTATTCCAATACCTCTTGGTTTCCCTTTCTATTCTATTCTGTTCAATCTTCTCAATCTTCTGCTCTCAAACATTCCGCTTCCGATTGGTGGTACATACTACCTATATCTGTCAACATAAGTAGCATACACCACAGATGTACCTATGCTTAAAATGATGAGTTTTATTAAAGGTGTTGTTGGTAAACCGAAAAATTCCGTAGAATATACTTACAAAATGAAATAATTATAATTTCATAAGATCCACAAATGTTATTTTCTACAATTTAGTTTCTGTGTTTGAAAAATCCACAGTTGGATTCATGGGTTGGTCCAAGCAAAATCACAATTGAAAACCTGGAAGCACTGAACAGCTGTTTCGTCCTAGTATGGGACTCCTCAGCAGTGGGCACCCTCGGTCCAGTACACGGGATATGAAAATACTTTTGAAATAAACGATGACTAACAACATTACTTCGAAAGTTATTGTGTTACTAGATAGCCTATTTTTTAATTGGTAATTGCATTGACCAATCACAGGGACAGTCAATCAAATGACATATCTTAATTTAATGTGTTTATATTATTTGTTTATTTATTTTAATTTTTTAGTAGTGAAAGTTATTTGAACAGCTTCATTCTTACCCAAACATGACATCTAATTGTGTACGACGAGTTCTTTTACCAATTGATGGTAGTGAACATAGTAAAAGAGCAGTGAATTGGTATTTGTCAGAATTTAGTAGACCAGATGATTTTGCCTATTTCTTTCATGTGGTTGAAGCAAATTACTCCAAGTCTACTGCAAATGAGACACATGATCATGGAAAAGAGTTAAATATTAATTTGGATAAAAATATTAAAATGTATTCAGAATTAGGTAAAATACTTGGTGACAAATTACATGATGATTTGAAAAATAGTCATATTCAAATGGAATATGTTATGCAAATTGGAAGTAAACCAGGTGAGCTAATAATTAATGCAGCTAAAGAACGATCTGTTGATGTTATATTGATTGGAAATCGTGGTTTAGGCGCATTCAGACGTACATTTTTAGGTTCTGTCAGTGAGTATGTATTACATCATTGTAATGTACCATTTATTATTATTCCACCTTCTATTAGTTCATGAAGTAATGTAAAGATGTTTATTTGTTATTGATTGTGTTTTTTTTTGAATGTCTTTGAACATTATTATAGAATTATATTATTACATTCCGTTGAACAATATGCATACAAATTTGTAACTGATCATTAATGGTTTAAAAGATCAACTTTTAACTATATTTACTCGTATCTTTCTTATTGATTATTCTCATTATTTCATTCAGCAGAAAGAATTTTCTTCCAGATGATCGTGTTTACTTAAACTGTACACACATATTTATAGTTAGTTTGTTTATCTATGATAATAATAATAACCTACAATAGAATAGAAAGAGTATTGTGTCACTAAGAAATAAAAGATATCAATAATGAACAGTTTCTAGATTTCAATTATCAATGGTCTGTAAACTAATAAAGAGGTGTTATGTTGATTTTCAAAAACAAAAAAAATAATTAAGTTACCTACCTTTATCAGTTTAAGTTCAGTATAATGATACAGATAATGGATGATATAAATGAAGGATTTTAATTGGTCGACAAAGAATTGAAAACTAACTAAATTCAATTCTTTTCTATGAAGAATAAATTATTTTTCTGAAACATATACATGGATTTACGGCTTTACTGCTTTGAAAATCTTTGAACATAAAGAGATATAAAGTGTTCTTTAAAGAAATCATATTAGTGATCAAATGCTTTTGAGGGATATTCGGAGAAGAACGAGATAAGCATTAAGTTGAAAATGGATTGAAAGTTTCTTATCTATACAGCGTAGAATGACTTTCATCCCGTTGTTAAAATAACAATTATGACCGTTGACAAAGTTCAAAAAAGCTATAAAAGCTAAAAAAAATCACTTGGAAATTCACGTTGATGGGTTGCGAACACATTGACTATTAAGGGTAACTTAAATCCAGAATGATAAAATGCTTTAAACCTTTAGAATTATCTGTGAATGTATTGATCAAAGTAGTATCATCTTTTAGGTCCTGGTAAGCAGTGCGGATATCAATGTTTAACTGTCAGCAAATTCATCAACCTTAGGGATGAATCTATTTTAATAGATAGAAAGGTTTTCTAATAGTGTCGATTTTTGAAATTTGATTATTTTAGTATAAAGAGTTCAAGAATTAAATAAAGATACTAAATTCACTGATTTTAATTAAAATCATAAATCGGTTAATATTAGACTACCATTGAAAACTTGGAAACACTGGACGAACGTTTTGTCCTAGTATGGGACTTCTCAGCAGCAATCTCATGATCTCAATTACAAGTCAACAACATCCACAACCCTTTACTGATTTTATTGATTCTTGAAAATTTTACTGCATATTTATTTTAGTTAGATTAATTACTTAAAAGCTTAGCTAAGATTAGTTTTAGCTTCTATAAAATAGCATTTTGATTGCGTGGCAACTAAACTAACCTATCGCGGACAGTAAGTCGATTAAATGTATACAAGTATAGCAGGAGATCAATTGATCATTTTTAGTGAGCTAATAATTGACTAACTTCAACAAGTACAATGAAGAAAATTTAATCGTATTGAATTTGAGCATAAAATCTGTTTGTTCGATTACTCTACTCTGAGATCCAAAATTCAACATCGTCTATTGACGTACATTATTAAACGTTGAAATATAATACTTATTCCTATAGCTTGATAATCATGATAGAAAGTATACATCAGCTATTTACGTGTTCATTTCTTTTGACAGTAATATAAAAATCAGGTCATATGACAGAATCAGATTAGGTCTAAACCAAAAACAAACGAGAGAAAAAAAGATAGAAAGAAAGAATATTGTAATAATTAGAAAACGTAACCATATTTCTACAGTCAACATACTGTTACTAACCGGGATGATGATGCCACACATATAGCTAGAGAAAAAAATTAATACAATAGGAAGCATAGGAAAGGAAAATAATCTTAACTGTATTAGTAAGTTATGTATAAAAACATGTAAAATTGAAAATAGGACATGCTTTAACCGAAATATTTAATTAACCCTAACACAAAATCTCACACTCGAGATATTTTCGAATGTGAATTTCTTTACAAAAACATCATGCGTAACAAAATGTACAATTTTCAGTCTTTCCACTAAGTTCCTCACGATTAATATAGATATATTTAAAGGCTTGAAACCTTTCACATAATTTAATTAAGAGGTGGTTTTCTGAGTTTATTAAAACCAAACACCATAGTTGGCTATCGAAAATGACCCGTGGATTGATAAATTATCAACACCTAAATGCTTCATACCACATATCAACGAGTTGGACATGTAACTTCAAACTGTATGTCACTGTATGTTTGTGTGTGTGTGTGTGAGTGTGTAACGTTTTCAAATGTTATAAATATCCAAGTTCACTAATGAAATAGTGTAAAATAAGTTCATCAAACCACAGGTATCCAATTTAATCAATAAATTAACTCCTAATGTTTTATTAAATAAATTAGTCATCTATACAAAAATTATTTGGTTACAACCCGAAAAACCATTAGGTATATATCACTTGTATAGGGTTATATGACAAACTAAATAAAATTCAAAATATAAACCATCACATTTCAACTAAGTGATTTAAAATTATTTTCTTTACTGAAAAACCTTTTTAAAAAAGTGTTTTAAGTTCGATTTTTAATTGGGCCATGAATGTAAATAACTAGGTGGTTTTATACTACAGTGAAACAATTGTTCAATACTCTTTAATTTTTAATCAAAAAATCAATGAAAAAAAAGTGGTCAAAAAAGTTCACCAAGGTAAAATTCACAGTTGGATGCCGGCTCAGTGGTCTAGTTGATTAAGCGCCTGGAGCAAGACTGATAGGTCCTGGGTTCGAATCTCGCGGGGTGCGGGATCGTGGATGGACACTGCTGGGGGAGTCCCATACTAGGACGAAACGGCCGTCTAGTGCTTCCAGGTTTTCCATGGTGATCTAGCTTCAATTGACTAATGATTTCAACCAATGGAATATGTAATTCATTAATTCAATATTATAATTGTTGACTGTTTATTATCAGGAAGAGTGTTTTGTGGCGATTGTAGTAATTTTAATCGTTGAATTTATAAGTCAATTAAAGCTAAATCATTATGGAATACCTGAAAGTACTGAATGATCGTTTGATCCTAATATGAAACTGTTTATTGACATATAGAATAAACACATAATAGAAATTGTTTGTAAACTACATATATTAGATTATAATATACAATTTTACATAATATTTATCACATCTATAATTAAGTAAGCTGATTATTAAAATAAGAAACATGATTTTAGTTAACCTCATTTTAAACTTGGTTAAATAATTATCATTAGTTAGAGGAGTTATCGATTGTAGAAAGAAACCTGATAAATAATTAGTAAATAACAACAACAACAACAACAACAACAACAACAACAACAACAAATAAGTCTTGTAGCCTTAATATGAACTTATGGTGTCTGAATTATTAGTTTAGGTAACAAATAATTAGACCATTAAGTCTAATCATTAGCATTATGAATACAATATGAATCTGATCACGTTTTACTATGTTACTTGTTTACTTTGAATTATATCAGTGAATAATGTAATGAGAAAAAAATGTATTCAGTAACATTTAAAGTTTATCAGTGTTTCTATGGTTTTCCTTCTAATTCAAATTATGAATTCATCATGAACTAATGAATTATAAGTAGTTGTTTTCTCTATTTATTAGGTTACCAGTTAGCTTTACATCAATATTATCAGTCTGCTACAATCAAATCATCTAACAAAGAACATATTTGCTGTTTAACCTGAGTTCAATTCAGAGAAACAGTATCAACATGGAATCAACACTTGCATTAAGATAAAATTAAACAGCTCTTTATTGTTAATTTAATTCTGAGTATATTTTATACAATACCGACTCTCCATAGACGTCACACTCATTCCACTTCAACTAACCAGTTAAATTTTATTTTTCAGTTATGTATACAGAATACTGTTCACGTAGACATAATTTAGTCTGGTCGATATGAAATCTTGTTTCAGATATGAAAACTGGATAAAAATAAAGAGAATTCAGTGAAGAAAACTTTCTTTTCGACGAAATCACTTACTTGAGCTGTACATTCGTGCTTATAGTTGTATGGTAAATATATGTTTATAGAAGGATGGAAAAGACTGCATCATAAAGCGATTCGAGACTCCAATTATGGAATGAGGCTAAGCAATAATCAGGGGATTAGAGAATAATATAAGCATGAAAATAATTTACGGGTCAAAATTATAAAAGCTAATTGTTCATAAAGGTCATACTAATAACTGAACAATAAACACAGATTTCGGGCTTATCAGTGCATAAGTTTTTGACTCGACCTACCTTCGATACAGTTTATTTGACTGTGTAGATTATTTTAAGGAAAGACTCATTCGGAGCGACGTGTCCGGAGTTGATTAAATGTTCGTGTATTGAACTGGTAACTCTTTTGCATTCTTTTAAAAGTCATGCTGCATGGTATTCTGAGATGCGTTTAGAAAGTGATTGCTTTGTGCGGTAAATGAAACTTACTCCACAGGAGCAAGTAAATTTATAGATGCACATCGATGTGGCCCAAAGATGAATTCGATCCTTAACACATCCGTGAATGGTAGGCCGGCTTGAGAAGATTATGCGGAGCTTAGCTGAGTAGAAGGTTTTATTCAGGGATTTGGAAATCCGTCTATTCAAGATTTCAGCAGCCGTATCTCATTTAAATTCGATATTGCTGAAAAGAGTTTTCTTTTGAACTGTTGGTACTTTTTCAGGATGTTATTATCGTACTACAGTATAACTGTGTAACATATACCATTTTGAAAATTTTTTAATGATTACAATAGTCTTATCTTGTTGTAAAGAAAGTATTTCAAATTATACATTTCGTATATATTAAATCTGTCTTAGGGGTTGAAGTATTCGTCTTTCAATCAACATGATGGAAGTAAAAACCTTGGTTTAACTACTTCATTTGCGTCAACTGGTTAGTATTACTGACACACACAAAAGCATATCTTAAAACCAAGTACATGAACCTATACTTAATAAACTAGTCGCATCATTAACGTAAACGTCAAGTGTATTATTCAGTGTTAAATGAAATAGATTATGCAGTCACCTAACGTAGCCTAATTAATATATATGTATATATGGTTTCATTCCTGAGTTTAATTTATTCAATCACCTATTAACCCATTTAGTTATCCACTTCAAAACTTATCAATTTTCATTACGTGTTTTTCAGTGTACTCATTTGATTGTACTTTTATAAATACTCTATTTTTTGGTTATTAAGTAATTAATTGTAATACCAGATAATTTCTTACGTATGTAACTCATGGTTCTATAATTAATATTCAACTTCCTCTAATATTGTTAGTCTCACTCATAATCTTTATGAAATCAAGTATTTATGGTTGACAGTTTATTTATACAAAAATCAGAACTCAGTAGCTAAGTGGATAACGCGATGGTGTTTGAAGCGAACGGCATTGAGTTCGAGTCCTAGAGTGAACATCAACTATGAGATGCAGGCAAGTGTAGCTGACGAGTCCCAAATAGGACTAAGTGCACGTCAAACTGAATTCCACTGCTAACCACTACACATGTTTGCTTAGAATACTTGTGAATTAATGTGATATCGAGTCAGTCCGCACAGTCTTCACATATACCAATAGGAGACTGATCAATTGCAGTCCTAATATAACAATGGGAAGATAAAGGTAAAGAACACCAAGTGAAAAATCATGTTATGTTTAAATTCTATTAAAATTGTAGCCAATTCATAAAACTCAATAAATTTATATTAATTTCAGTTTCTCTTGTTGTTCTGTTTGTTATCGTCAATAGTTAACTTCTTAATAAGACTTTTTTTTCGAACACATTCTGTCAATTTTATGTTCAACTATTTCAACCCATTTTTTTGAACAACACCTTTCAATATTTTAATTATCCTACTGACATCTAGTTAACTGTTTATTTCTTAACAATTTATCATTGTTTATAAAGATGATATCTAACTTGTAAAGTTGTTAATTAACCTATTACCAGTATTTAATTTAATGTTAGTTGTTAAGAATAGACAGACGTCTTAGTTCAGAATCATGATAAAGAGTATAGTTAAAAGCCAACTATTTGAAACTGTTCTTTAACATTTAAAACAACTGAAAAGATTGTAATTGAGAAATTATTTGATTTTCTTTTATACAAGCATAATTTTAAAGTGGATTCAATGGTCTACTATATAACATGATTTAGGAGAGACTTGAAGTCCTTTTATTTCAACCGATATAGGGTTATGTGTAGAGTTGCAAGTGAGAACTTATTAGTTGATCAGTAATTCCTGACCTATTATAAATTTTATGAATTGATGTAGGCTAACTTTTAACTTCCAAAATCCCTTTATTGAATCAAATAAACAGACAAACATCACAGAAATTGATTTGTACAATTAAAAAAGTATTTAGCAATTGATTGACCATTTACCAATCAGAAGACAAAAACTAACTGTTAATGTTTTACGTACAAATTCATTAAAGGACAAACTGTATCCTGTTAGGTTCTATGGTGTTCTAAACCAATAATCATTTTAATATTTGAACCTAGTTTTGATAAGAAATAAATAGATTTTCTATGTTTATGGATGTGTGATTAATTTTCTGGTTAGTTGTGAATTAATTGAGTCCTGATTGTCTCCCAAAAGCCTAATCACTTATTCAATGACCTGCAAAAAAAATTACGAGTAAGGTTAATGGATTCTACTCAACAGAGTAACGTAAAGTAAAATATTCGACAGAATAACTGAAAACGGAAATTAATTATAGCATTATTTATGGGCATGCTACGATATTCAATCTTCAATAAACATCAGTCATTGTTCTTTTTTCCGTTATGATAAAGTTATCAAGTCAAACATTACTGAGAAGTATATCCAACTTGATTTGTAGTGTAAATATGTGGTAATATCGTGAAAAGTTTGGATAACAGACAATTTATTTAACTTCGTAGACGATTGTGATTAAGATAACTTTTTTTTGTGAAAATGGCACTTCAACATAAACCAAAATAAATTGGCATAACTGTTCTAGAATTGCTTCTTTTCTATCACTCCATTTTTCTATTGAAAATCATCGCGTAAATATTTTCAATTATTTGTCTACATCATACTGATTTAATTTATACTCAGGACTGAAATAAAATATCTCCTGTACTTTCCAAACCCTCTTTCGAAATTAAACCTTCACTCAAAGATTGTATTATCGAGGAGGACAAGTCTTGATCAAAAGCAATACGCAAACAGCGATTCCTCGAATAAAATCTCCCGTGTGGTCAAAAATAAATAAGGAATGAAACATTGATGCAAGATGACCATTATAAATGGGGAAATTCATTATCTTGAACAACCCATTCTGATAACCAAATTTTCACTATTGACCGGTTTTAAGATAGATTTCCTGGAGATCTAGTGAGAAGCTGTAACAAGTGGAGTCGGTCGGATGAATACTGTTATCCAATTTAGACAGTGAATGAAGGGTTGCACAAGATCATGGATTAATTGAAATTAGACATTAACTCTGTTAGATGGCAGATCAGTGGTCTTGGGGCTAAGCCTTGGTATGTGAGACCAAAGATCCTGAGTTGGAGTTCCGCGTGAGGGATCGTGGATTCTCATTGCTGAGGAATCCCATACTAAAACAAAATGGCCTTCCAATGCTTCCAGGTTTCCAATGATGATCTAGCTTATATCGACCCATGAATTCAACTATCAAAATTAAAAGAATATCATTAGGTTCAGAGTTTTGCAAACTGTCTTTTAAGAGAGAATTATTATATACACGCATATATATAATTCCACAATCTGGTTGAATAAAAAGATAATCCTATGATAATGTGCTCTTAAAAGCTAATTAAACAGAACATCTTCAATTAGTGTTTTATGCGTTCTTTCAAATCTAGGCTATGAAGGTCTATAGACAAGCTGATCAGTGGTCATCAATAATTAGATATAGGTGTTAACAATTTCTACTGAGTGATCACTAATTGATAATGAAGACCGTTTTTGTCTGGGCTTTAGTGATAAGTACTTCATATTAACCAAGATGTAATATGGCCACTAACTTCAGTGATTAGACATTGCTTACAATGGGTCTGAATTTAATTAGTTGAAAATAATCTATAAGAAACCCAAGATGAGTCTCAAAAAAGACAGAAAGCCAGGTCTACGGTTTTCTGATGAGTGCCAACAACAATCTAAGTCTACAATATTTATATTAGCAAAAGATATTTTCCCGTCTGATACAATAATCGATTTATATCGTATAATTAAGCTAAATGTTTAGTTTTTGGGGTTTGTGAAAGCTGTTAAGTTTTATAGTATAGAATACGGATTGATCTTAGACAACCACTGCAAATCATGGAGCACCGGACATCTGTTTTGTACCAGTCTGAGACTCAGCAAGATATATACCATCTCACTAGGAGTCCAATTCAAGGCCATCAGATTTTATCGAAGTGCTTCAACTTTAGATCACTAAGTCGATATGCAACCATTAACATTTCTAAAATCAATCAGCGAACTCAAGTCATTTTTTTTTATTATTTTAACTGGTATGCTCATTTTATTTTACAAGCGAATTGCTCACTGAATAATAATTTCTGTATTAATGAGCATATAATTTCTAAAAAAAATTCTGCTTAATTGTTTTATTACAGAACAGAATACTTTTTAATAGAGTTAACCTAAAACAAAAATACAACGTCATCTTTCTCTAATCTCCATTAATGATTTCAAGCATACAATAATGGTAATACATCAGTGAATATTCTCTCTTTTTCTCCTAATATTTATTAGCTAAAAATTATTTAAACATCATATTGTCAATTCACTTGGTATTGTTTGTTTGAATATTGATATTGGTGTTTAGGACTGTAATTGAACAGTCTCTTATTAGTATATGTACATACTATGCCTATTGCCTCGATATAGCTTTAATTTTACAAACATTATATGCAAAGATATACAGTGGCTAGCAGCGGAATCCAGTTTGACGCGCATTTCTTCCTATTTGGGACTCATCAGCTGGGTGTACCTGCACCTCAGAGTTGATGTTCACTTGAACTTAATCCACTGCTAGCCACTATCCATCTTTGCGTATAATGCTTGTGAATTTAGGCTATATCGAGGCAATACGCACAGGATGCACATATCCCAATAAGGGACTGATCAATTGAAGTGCTAACACATCAATGGGAATATTCAAACAAACAATACCAAGTGAATTTCAGTTTAACCTCATTGTACAAGCAAGTGACTATCAGAACTCAGTAACTAAGCGGATAACGCGTTGGCGTTTGAAACGAACGGTATTGAGTTCGAGTTCTAGAGTGAACATCAACTGTGAGATGCAGGCAAGTGCAGATCAGTCACATGATGGATCTTAGATTATTACATGAAATTCAACACATGATGACAAATAAATTGTATCATGTGAGGGTCGAGACTATACCTAACATTAGTTATATGTGAAAATTATACTTGAAGTAATCTCAGCGATTGACATTTAAATAATTCTAACGTTTCGTCCAGCTAACTTGTCTGGACCATTTCAGGGTAATAATTAAAATCATCATAGGAATATATAACCTTTTAACAATCAAAACTATACTATGTTAAATCAATCAAATTTGGATGTTGAAATTTGTAAAATAGGATTTCAACTACATGGAAATAATTAAGTGAATAACACATTGTACATGTGTGAGTGTTAAAGGTATGTATGTATGTGTAAGATTAATTGTTGATATTCGGTGTTAATATGTTATATATGAAGGAATAAATAATTAAAAGTTCAAGTTCAAGGTTGATAAAACTGTTACTGAATCATCGACCTAATATTATTTATTAATGAAAAATGCTTGTAATTGAAATATGACGAGAACAATGATTAGAAAAAGACTTGTAAACTAAAAGAATTAGGATAAACATGATGTTATAACATGAGGTATAAACTTTTCAAAACATTCTTGATATTTGAAATTAAAAATAAATAAAAAACTTTCTATGTATATATTGATTTTGCTTTAAAGTGTTCCATTCCATCTTAACCTTAACTCTTTAAACCGAATTCTAATATGAACTCCCTCTCGAAATGCTCTCACATGGCGACACATATACACTCACTGCCAGGGAAGTCCTACTCACTACCTTCTCTCACCAGAGGTATTGTTTACGAAATTGAGAGGACGAAAAGCGAATGTCCGGCGCTTCAACTGGGTTAGTGAATATGGAGGATCTATCTAGGGGAGTTGGAAACCCCTGATTTCAAATCAATAGTACAAATAGGCCCCAGGATCCTCAGAGAACAAATGGTATATGAACTAATTATTGGTCGCCGGATACCATGGGACTGCATCTCCTGACGTTGCTCTACTGCCTTGTGGACTAGACCCTTAGTTTGAAGGCTTCGGGTGCGGCCCCTAGAGAAAATCACTTGCTTCGGTATAGGTGCCCGGGAAGTATCACAGCCCACATACAAACCAGGTGACTTGTGTGGCGCATATGTATTCGGTGCCCCTTTGTACCAATATTTATGTGTTCAAATAAATAATAATCAATAAGAAGCATTAGTGTTTAAATACAACTAATGCATTATTAATGGTTAGTATCTAGTTGGTGTGGATTGCGTCACATAGCAAAATCTACCAAAATAGAAAGAAAATTTAAAGAAACGAGCACCGATACGTGATTATTTTATTTGTTTAAACATGAAAATGTTGGGACACAGGGACACGAAAATAAATATGCATCACACAATAAAATGAGATTTTGAAGAGATGGACCAAGGAGAGGGAGCAGAATCATATATAAATAAATATTTTAAAAATGTCGAGTGGACGGAAGTAGTGGCTAATGGGAGGAGCGACCTAGTTAAGGAAAATATAACGAAAAAGAATTCTTTCGGTTAAGGAAGTTTCTCTAACTTTTATGAAGTAAAGGAAAGTTATAGTAGGACCATCACTGACTACTATTCCAAGCCAAGTCTAATAACACGTTCATAAATTATTTTTAATGTGCACTAATTTTTTATAAGTCTCGCTAAGTGAACGCTATATTCGGTTCCTAAGCAATTCTCGTAACACCCAAGCTAGAACTTTACAGCAACCTAAACACGAGAGGAAAGGCACAAAATATGCGAGAATCTCTTTACTCCAAACGTTCGTTTTAGTGCAGAAAATATAGGGTTTTTAGAGTATTTTAGATGTCCTTGGGTTTCCCGAAAATTCTGGAATGCTACTAAACATAGTAGCAGTATAATAATCAGCCAATCAGAAACCCTACAAGTGATGTTTCTGGCTAAACTTCAAGTGAACGCTGATTAAATAAAATGTTTATCAGTGTTTCCTGAACCTTTCTTGTCTTTTGCGAGAAGTTTTCTGGATCACCCCAAAAATTTTACAAATGTTTTATGCAGTCTTGTGACTCAGTTCACTGGCAAAGTTCTGCTAAAATTACTTTCGAAAATCATACGAGTTCAATTTTTGCAGTAATTCAATAAGCGAGAGAGATTATAACGCAATCAATAGAAGAGAAATGTTAAGAATAGGAGAAACAAAATTAGAGTTCACAAGATCGGGGAGTAACATTTCGTGAACTTGAATCGTTAACATTGGTGGGACGTGGTGATGAAAATTCGCAAGAAGGGTTAACCGGGGGAGGGGGTAGGAGAGTTATTAAGAGGTAAGGCAGGAGTATGATTGTGAGCAAGTGGATCTCAGATATAGTTAGAGGTATGAGGTTGTCGCTTCCCGGCTGCCTACACCGTGGAAGGATATTTCTGCTCTCAGATCTTAAGGTGCTGACTTTGGCCTAAACGTTTTTTCATTAGACCTGCCGAGCACGGCAGGAACTAAACGAACATGTATCCCAACCAATTTAGCTCGGCTGAGTCATCAGTAAAAGCAACCCCGATCATCATGTCGAGGTAGAAGCTTCAGGTGAGCTTAATGAATATCCCTATTAGAAAACAATATTGTTCTAATTTACACAACGAGAACATTAAATGTAGTAAATTAAAATATAATTCTAAAGTTTTACACAAGATTTTTTAAAACTCTAACTTCCATAATAATCTAGTGATAAAATGAAAATTTCTAACGCAAAATAATCATAAGCCGTTAGATATTTACCTCTTTCGAAATAATCTGTTTAGCTGCCTTTGAACAGACTTCAAAATAGTTTATTTGATTTGTACAACTATTGTCTGATGCAGTAACATTATTGTTGCGTATATAGAATTGTTCTTGTCGTTGCCTATTAGCATTCTCCATAGATGAATCATTCACCTTTGCAATTTTTAATTCATCTTGATCACAAACTGATTGTGATTGGTTGGAACGAGCCAAAGATACTTTCTTATAACAAATAAGAATTATGAATACGGTTAAATTGATGAAAATATAAGAACATTCAGCATTAATGTAGATTGATTAATTAAAAAATTTCAGTCAAAATACTTTCTTAAGGTTCATGAATAAAAATTTATCTTACAGTATATAAATAACGTAAAAATTCCTAATAAATGCTGTAGGAACAAATTTGTTTACTTCACCATGCACAGGATATATAACTAAAATTAGGTTGCGCTAACAAATGTCAAGTAGCATAAAACCTAGGTCTAGGGGATCCTACCAACTACTGATCGATATCAAAAGGTAGTGAACATGATGTCGAGTGACTTGACCTAGTGGATTACATTGCAATTCGATTGATAGAATTCGACCAGCACGCAAGACCAGACAAACATGACATTGGTCGCTAGTCAGTGATCAATATGAGATCTCTGTAAGTAAACAGTTCAAAGAAGAATACTATAAAAACTAGATCATATCTGCGAGTAGCAATTTTATTCATTCATTTCTACAAGAAAGCAAACATTCTCATTTAGATATTTAGCAAACAACGAATACACATAAGACATATTTCTGTCCAATAAGTCTTACGATGGCTCAACACTGTTATACATAAATAACATAGAAAGACACACCAGTCAAGTGGTGAAGTGTCATACAGTAATTTTACAAATTCTAATGCATATGAACATGACTGTGAATAATAATAGAATAATTATAAGATGGAATGGACTAATCGATTGGTATTCTACGGTATCAATTAATAAATAAACAAATTGGGATGTGATTTAGGGACTGATAGTGGGAGAATCTAAGTCTATTACAGAGCTGTGAATAAATTTGTAGCAATTTAGCATTGGATTTGTGTAGTTTTACCCCCACACATTGTAGAATATCGCTTATCGTACTGTTATTTTACTATATTTGACTTTCAATAAAACTTTTCTCATCCCATTTCGTCCGATTAAATGATCGTTTTAAATTAGTAATAATTGGTTAGCCATTTTTGAAAACTGAAACCGTGCAACCTATGCTGATTTCGGAGACGGCTTCATTCAATGTTGTACACTTCGTTTATCTACCTTATGAGAAGCACCTGAGTTCGCAACATGTTTTTAACATGCGCCACAAAGTGTTCTCACTGACCACCCTCCTAAATATGTAATGTGCCTGAGATTTAGATGGTGGTTGGAGGTAGTCAACAGGAAACCCTGGACCCGGGTCTCGTGCTACTTGGCACTCGTCAGCAAGGTGTACCTGTAATCTTGAGGGAACTGGTGCTCCCTGGAGGATTCGATCTCGTGTCACCCGGCTTCACAGTCAGAGACGTTACCACTGAGCTATCCGAGCCTCGACTGGACTAATAAGGACTAAATAAGCATGACATTGATCACCACCCAGTGATCAATCAATTATGATTACATCTCAGTCCTACAGGAGGTCAGTCGCAGCTCGGATAGCTCAGTGGTAACGTCTCTGGCTGTGAAGCCGGATGACACGAGATCGAGTCCGCCAGTGAGCACCAGTTCCCTCAAGACTACAGATACATACACCTTGCTGACGAGTGCCAAGTAGCACGAAACCCGGGTCCAGGGTTTCGTGTTTACTACCTCCAACCACCACCTAAATCTCTACATATAGATGTCCTTAACAAGTATATGTATGATCAGATTGTTCAAAATGTATTGCGCCAATATATCACATAATTCTGTTAATTTTTGTATTCTTACTACACTATCGAAAATATTATTATTATTATTATTATTATTATTATTATTATTATTATTATTATTATTATTATTATTATTATTATTACGGTGTAACTTCATAGGACAGCATATGTCAGTCAAAATAAATCCTTAAAAAGCATTCGGCGAACTGTCATATTGTTTACTTTGTGACCAATTAATAAAGTCAGTAGCATTTAATGATTGATTAGATGTAATTTAAATAACTGTGTACAATATATACAAAACAGAACAAACATGGATGTAGAATAATATGAATTCATTATATTTTGTGGTTTCTCATCATCTGCTTACAACCAGTTATGTAATGAAAGTCTACATTGAGGCAAGATATAATATAAATCAATTAACATAGATGAATGAAAAGAATTGGGATGACAAAGGTTATCAATAATATATATATGCAGGAACAGGTCGAAGGTCATTTGGTGTTGAAATCTAAAAATACATAAGGGGTGGGTGATGCGTTAAACAAGTGAGGTTCAGAGACAGATAAGATAAATCGTGCAATAATTTTGGAGGTTATGGATGGAATTAAAAAACTGACGAGATGGATTCTTATTTTCTGTACACTAAAACCATCCCTTCACTCGTTCATTTCCATTGACTCAATTATCTTCACATAAGTAGACTCTTCAAATCCTGTTCAATTATTACGTATCCTATCTTATCAGTTTTTTTATTCCAGTAATCTTAGGTATATCCTCCATAACCTCTAAAATTATTACACAATTTATTTTATGTGTCTCTGAACCTCACTCAGTTAACGCATCACCCATCCCTTATGTCTTTTTAAGATTTCAACACCAAATGACCTTCGACCTGCTATTGCACACAACGAGTTATTATAGATAACCTTTGTCATTTAAAAGTTACTCCCTTTCATAAATTCCGATAATGCAATGAGAAGAAATTTATCAGAATTATGTGGTATATTTGCGCAATACATTTCGATCATACATATACAAGACAGGTTAAAGGCTTGCCGTGACAAAGGAAAATAGTTTATTATTTTTTTCTTTGTTACTACAAACCTTTATCCTGTCTAGTTGACCTTTTAATTGTCATACAACAACAACAGTCACAATCTTCAACACAAACATCACGACAGTTCTACTGTACGGAGCTGAAAATTGAAAAACTACTACAATCATCAAAAATTTACACGTATTTATAAACAATTGTCTACACAATATACTCAATATCCGTTGTTCAGATAATATCAACAACAACAACACCTACCTATTGTATCAGAGAACAAACCAACTTATAACAGTTCAAGAGCAAATTAACAAAAGACGTTGGAGGTGGATAAGACATACATTTCGGAAGTCATCAGACTGTATCACTAGACCAGTCGTAAATTGCAATTGTGAACGGAAATGAGAAATAGGAAGACCAAATAACACAGTGTGTTGGTAATTGGAAGCAGGTAACAAAAGAATGAATAGCAACTGTAAAGAACTGGGAAGGAATGTCTAGGACAGAGTTTAGTGTCGAATGTTGGTGGGCGACCTATGTTCCTCCATGTGTGTTGGGTAACAGATGTAAGTAAGTACGGTAATTTTAATTAGTGTAACTATTTCAACAATGTATGTAAGTATAATTGATGACAAATATTCATATTTACGAAAGAACAAGATAAATTATTCAATTAAGCGTTACCAGACTTTTTCCGTTCTCCTCATAAAACTAAAATCTACAATCAATAATCCAGTTGTATTTGTATTCCATATTGAATTAAGTAAGCAACAGTCAATACTTTATTAAATTTCATAATAAACTCTTTCTAATGAAATTCTAAAAGAGAATATTACAGAATAGATTACTCTACGTAAATTAAAAATTATTTTTTCCATTAGAAATTGTCTATGAATCTAGTGATCAAAATCACTTTCAAGCGTTAATAAATTAAATGATGGAACTATACTATAATGACAGATCAGTCACATGATGGATCTTAGATTATTACATGGAATTCAACACATGATGACAAATAAATTGTATCATGTGAGGGTCGAGACTATACCTAACATTAGTTATATGTGAAAATTATACTTGAAGTAATCTCAGCGATTGACATTTAAATAATTCTAACGTTTCGTCCAGCTAACTTGTCTGGACCATTTCAGGGTAATAATTAAAATCATCATAGGAATATATAGCCTTTTAACAATCAAAACTATACTATGTTAAATCAATCAAATTTGGATGTTGACATTTGTAAAATAGGATTTCAACTACATGGAAATAATTAAGTGAATAACACATTGTACGTGTGTGAGTGTTAAAGGTATGTATGTATGTGTAAGATTAATTGTTGATATTCGGTGTTAATATGTTATATATGAAGGAATAAATAGTTAAAAGTTCAAGTTCAAGGTTGATAAAACTGTTACTGAATCATCGACCTAATATTATTTATTAATGAAAAATGCTTGTAATTGAAATATGACGAGAACAATGATTAGAAACAGACTTGTAAACTAAAAGAATTAGGATAAACATGATGTTATAACATGAGGTATAAACTTTTCAAAACATTCTTGATATTTGAAATTAAAAATAATAAAAAAAAACTTTCTATGTATATATTGATTTTGCTTTAAAGTGTTCCATTCCATCTTAACCTTAACTCTTTAAACCGAATTCTAAGATCCAACACGTAACCTAAACCTTTATTCCTAATATGAACTCTTAGTTTTAACTCTTAATCTTGTTTTGAACTTTTATTTGTTCATTAATCATGAATGGTGTTCATATGCGTTTTAATTTTTCCCTTTTCTCTAATAGATTATTCATTCATAACTCCCACGTTCTCATTGGGTAATAACTAGATAAAATTACGTAAGGTCACTTACAGTGAATCAAGGTCATTTAAATGGTTTCGTTCTGCCAATGAAGTAAGGGTAGTATAAAGATTTATTACTAACTTTCAACCTTTGGATCTGGAAACTTTTGGAACAAAAGTGAATGCAGCTTTTTATTTTAAATAATCTCATCGATTTGATTTGATCATTTCGAATAAATTGAGCATTGGGTTGATTGTTATAAATAAAAATAATATATTTGTAATATCCCAATGAGTAGAAAATTGGATTTTCTGACGTTTCGTGACTTAGTATAAGTCACTTCTTTGGGATATTACAAATATATTATTTTTATTTATAATCTCATCGATTATTTTCACATATAATTACTTCTCTACATTCGGCGCTCAATTTCTGTCAAACTTCGTTCTAATCTTGAAGAATATCCGTATAAACTGTTGAAATGTTTAATAATCTTTTCAGAATTGATACTTTTTATATTTAATAAACTGTTGCATAACAGTTTAACTTATCTACCTAAAATTAGATTATATGTAGTGAA